GAAAAGTCCAGATTAGGCAAATCCATAGGGACAACAGGTAGATTAGTAGTTACCAGGAACTGGGGCAAGGAGGAATGGGGACTACTAATAAGTGCAGGGTTTCTTTCTGGGGCAATAAAAAATGTTCCAGAATTAGTGGTAATAATTTTACAAACTTGTGAAAATACTAAAGGCCACTGAATTGTGTACTTGAAAAGAGTGAATTATATGATATGTAGATTATCTCAATAAAATAAAGAACATATTTTATAAAATTATGTGAATTGACTATTTGAATAAAGAGTATGAGACACCAGAATTAATAAAACAAAATGCTGTGGATATTTAGAATATGTAAAACATTTTTCACTAAAAAGTGAAGAACTGACAATTCCTGTAATAACTGAAATATGTACTATCTTTTCCATGTTTGGTGACTAAAAACAAAACAAAAAAAGTTTGTTGAACCAAAGTCATAACTAGGCAATGAAGAATAAGTCAAAAATCATGAAAACATGCTGTTCTTTTTTTTTTTTTTTTACTATAGTACCATCATAGTTACTATACACTGAAATTCATTCAGTAGAAAAAAAAATGCATATAAGCAATCAGTATTAATGAAATATCTAAAAGTGAATTCATAACCTGAAGAGATTTATATAATCTTTCTCTATTGCACTTTTAATAGTTTCCAGCTTTAACAAATTGTGTAGCTCTCGACTCATAGCCATTTCTGTTGTAGTTATGTGGAAAGTTGTCAAAAAATATTTCCTTCTAAAATAGTTTTATCTTTTTTTGCTTTACTGCTAAGACTCATACAACCGTTTAACACATTTACCTTAAAATTTGTAAAAAAAAAAAAAAATTTGAAAAAAAAATATCACTAACTATATATTTTTTTTTCATTAGGTTAAATAAGTTTTTTTTTCATTAGGTTAAATAAGTTATTTCAACCCAGAGTTGAAGTTTGAGAAAGAAAACCCCTAAAGCCCTTTAGATTTGCTTGCCTCCAGGTGAGTCAGGAATAGAGACCATAATAGGAGAAAACAGAGAGTGAGAGGTTTGTACATATTTCATCACATAAAACACTAGCAAAAATGGACAGCCACAAATTCTAGAGCTCTCCCAGTTCATATATTAATAACATTAATGTTCCTTAAGTGAGATATTATTAAAGTTGTTAGAACTTAAACTTTCTCCACAAAACCTTAATAACTAGCCTGCTTGATAATATTTGGCTTAAAGTATTTATACATAACAACAATCTAAGTTTACAGTACCACTATACTTAGCTGGGTATTCTGATAGGTTTAAATTGTCTACTGCTTTAATATTTAGTTGAGAAGAAAATAAGTATTTAAAAAATTATTTTATTTAGCTTTATTATTATTATCTAGCAACTTTAACTATCATATCACCTGCCAGCCCCAGGAAAATATATAAATTTTTACCTATAAATAAAAATTATTTTTAAATGTTAAAGTATATATGTGAGGAGATTTCTAAAAGGTTATAGAAAATGAAATAAAATTGAGTTTATTTTAGTATAAAAAATTTTGAAATCCATGCATTTTGGCATAATACACATTTTCTATGAACTTTCTGAAGACTTCCCCATATAAACACAAGCACACACATGTAAGTTTTACTGAGATATATTTTACATAGCACAGATTTTACCATTGTGAACTCATGCTTATCTTCAGTTAATCCCAACTCCCAGTCCCATGGAACCACAGATCTGCCCTTTGTGTTTATAGTTTTATCTTTTCTACAGATTTCATATAAATGAAATCATATAATACGTTGTCTGTGACACAGGAGTGGGAGTTAAGGTGCTGAACTCACTCCCTCATGGGCAACCGTGGTTTGAGTCCTGGACCTCACTGCTAGCTTTCTCAGTTTCCTTTTTTCTCTCTCTCTGTCTCCCTCTGGTAAAATTAAAAATAATAATGATGATGATGAATACAATAAAATAATTCTTTAAAAAATTGCTATAGTATGCAGTTAAAATTGTGCTTAGAAAGAAGTTTTCAGATTTATATGGATATATAAAAAAAAGAGAAAAGCTCTTAAGGATCAGCAATGCCAGTGAGAGCTTATTTCTTTGCAAAGACTAATAGTAAGATTGATAGGTCCCTAGAGAATCTGACAAAGGAAAAAAAATTGTAGCAAATATTAGGAATTAAAACGTGAACAATTCAGGGGCAGCAGGTGGTAAAGGCACTGGATCTACATGGTTGTCTTCACAGTTCACAGTTGTAGTCTTGGATCCGGTGGCTTGAAAATCACTCTAGGCACATGTGTGTGCATGCCCAAAGTCCTAAGAGGAGGATGGGAGAGAAAGGATTGCTGTATGGCTATCCTCCCCAGGAGGTAAGTTCTTACTTTCGCTTTCTCTCTCTCTTCTCTCTCTCTCTCTCTCTCTGTGTCTCTCCAGTGAGTGCATGTACTCTGCAGCAAAAACAAAACAATGACAAGAAGAGTGAACATTACAACCAATTCTGTAAATATTAACAAGGTAATAAAATGATCTTATGATAACTTTATTCCAATAAATTTGACAATTGTAATGAAATACTTGGTTGTCAGAAAAGTCATGATGTATTTTTTCATGTTTTTCAAAAATGCATCGTGACTTCTCCGATGACCTAATAAATTCTTAGAAAAATATAAATGATCAAAACCACAAGGAACAGGAGCCAGCAGGTGGTGTGGTGGTTAAAGGTGCTGGATTCCCACATGGCTACTGCGGTTGGAAGATGGGAGAGAAAGGATTGCCATGTGGCTATCCTCCCTGGAGAGTAAGTTCTCACTTTCCCTTTCTCTCTCTCTCTGTCTCTCTCTGTTCAAATTAAAAAATAATAATAACAAATGAAATTAAATAAATGAATAAATAATTCTTTTAAAAAACACAAGGAATAAAAATCTCAAGTTATGAAATGACTAAAAAATTTCTATTTGTAATTAAACTATTAAATGAAAGAAATTAAATGTGTAACTCAAAACTTCTCACAAAGAAAAGTCCAGAGTCAGATGGTTTTACCAGAAAATTTTACTAAGTATTAAAGGCAGAAATAATTCTAATTGCACAAATTATTCCATAGAATTAAAAAAGAGGAGCCACTCCCTAACTCATTTATAAAACCAGCAATAAGGGAAAAGTACAAACCAAAAATAATAAAGATAAATAGGAAATTAACATAATTAATATCAGAACAGTGGTTATTGTAAGGTAGGAGTGAAGAGACTGTAACTGGGAAAAGGCAGTCAGTGGAGGCTTCTAAGGGTTGATGATGTTCTATTTCCTGACCTCAGTGACAAGTTTCCAAACATTTGCTTTATCAAAAATCATTAAGAGGCACATCTCTGTTTTGTACACTTTGGTGCATGGGTACCATAATTTTAAAATTTTAAATGGGGGGCCAGCAGGTAATGTGGCGGTTAAAGGCACTGGACTCCCATATGGCCAACCAGGGTTCGAGTGACAGAACTGGCAGCTTGCTTTCTCACTTTCTCTCTCTCTCTGGCCAAATTAAAATAAAAGAAATAAAGTTAAATAAAATAATTTTTAAAAAGCATTTAAAATTTTTAAAATGCTTTTATTTTCTTTTTTGAGAAATTTTTGCTATAGGGCATGTGCACTTTCTGGAGAGACAGAAAGCGAAAAATCACCCCCTAGAGGGATAGCCACATTTCAATCCCTTCTCCTCCACTCACCTCTTAAGATTTTGGGTATGCATGCACATGCGCCCAGCCTGAGTTTCAAGTCACTGGGTCTGGGATTTGAACCATGGTTGACCATGTGGGAATCCAGTCACCTTAACTACCACACCACCTGCTGACCCCTTAAAATGCATTAATTTTTTTTTAATTATGGGATCAGTGTCACTAAATGAGAGAATAGAATAAATGCTTGTGGACACACATTCTTGGACTTCAGTAATTTTCTTGATCATATCTTTAATTACTATTAAAGGCTTCCAATTTTCTCTTCTTGGAAATTAAGTTCTACAGACTAATCTCTTTACTGTCTACTAGCTTCAAATCCCATGAATACACACTGGAATCAATAGCTATAATTACATTTGCACTAAGTTCATCTATTTTTTTTTTTTGGAGAGATTTTTGCTATAGGGCGTGTGTGCTCGCCAGACAGACAGAGAGAGACATTAGAGACAGAAAGCGAGAAATCACCCCCCAGGAGGGATGATCACGTGGCAATCCCTTCTCCTCCATTCTCCTCTCGGGATCTCGGGCACGCACGCACACGCACCCAGTATGAGTTTTAAGCCACCGGGTCCGGGACATGAACCGTGGTCGACTACATGGGAGTCCAGCAACATAGCCATTACGCTAACTGCTGGTTCCCAGTTCATCTATTTTTTATTCTACTACTCTTCCTATTATGGGGCTCTGTCTACAAAACCCCAAATTCAATCTTGGGTGATAACACATAAAGATTAACCAATATCTGTATTGCTGCAAGATGTACAATAAAAAGACAAAGAAGCAGGCATATTGTTTACTCTGGAACTGAATAAACATCAACTCAGTAGTTTTTCTGGGAACTTATCTGTTTCCTACCATTGATTATTTAAAAGTATTTGTCTTCAGCTTTTGTCTACCCAGTCCACGCTCAAAACCCAGGCAGCTGTCTACAGAAAGCTTTCACAATAACAGAACATTTGATTTCTTGGTCTGAAGTATGAATTATTTTTTTATTAAGACCCAGTCATTGGATTGTGTCTTCTCTGCAACAATAGTAAAAGAACAGCTAAATGGACACAGCTGAATTTTATTTTGACAGCAGTTACAAAGCCTATATTACTACCATAAACTACTGCTTCTACCTACCTTTCTAAATGCTTTAAAATCTCCTGTAAGGTGAGTAAGCAACAAAATATAGTATACTAAAACAATTCTGACCCAAATTATGGCAACCCAAACTTTGGTCTACATACTGTCATCAATTTGACAAACTTAAATAAAAGTAGTATTTCCATCATAAAATGTCTCACTTTTGGAACATGAGGATTAAATTCCACAGCTCTATGAATTGCTTCCACAGCATTAATTTCTGCTGTGCTTAACCCTCTTCTAGAGGCGGTTTCTGGAGAGAATCTGTAAGGAAACCACAAAGAAGAAATGAATATACCAAAAAGAAAAAAAATCAAGAATGTATACCATAATGTACCACAATGAATCTAAGAGGTTTCTGGTGATGGCCAAAGACAAACCAGATGACTATTAAAACTAAAAATAAATTCTTCTGGTTCAACACATAAAACAAGGTAGTATAAGGAATGGAAGTCTGCAAACTTAAAACCTAGATTTAAAAAGCCCTCAGAAGTCCACCGAAGGCATACTTTGGGAAAGGTAACAATGCAAGAAATGCTACACAGGGACATCCTCATGAGAATCTCACAAAATAGAAGAATTTTTTTTTTTATCAATTTTTTATCTGAGAGGAGACAGACTGTGAATATTCCATTCTAATTCATATCAAGACATAGTAACCTAAGATGAAAGAAAATGGTCACCAATTGGTTGCTCCTGAATATTTTATTTGTGGACTAAAGAAAATCTATTAAGGGCAACTGAAAATACAAAGAAAGCAGAATATCTCAGAACTGTAAGAACAGATCACATGAAACCTGTTTCCCTACCACACACTCTATCATTACCATCATAGCTACCATTTACTATATGTACTTTGTAGATGGTGCATTAGGCACTTAACATCCATAATCCTCACACAATCAGCCTACTGTATTATTATTTTCCATTTATAGATGAGGAAGAGATTCAAAATTATTAACTGATCCACGTTCTACAGCTGATATGTGACAGAATTTTCATTTGAGTCCAGGTTTACTTAACTCTAAAAACCTTTTCTTTCCACAATACAGAGTAAGAAGCTTCAAAGTCCCAGAAGATCAAGCGATATTCATAAGAAAGTAGGAAGGAAAAGGGGCGTTGTTTAAAGTCATTGGAAGAAAAACATGACATTGAATTTAGCAGTCTTTTCAAATCATTAAAATTTTCATAACTACTTACTTATCTGAAACAGTCCTTGTCTTCAACAATGCTGCTGTATAACAGATTGCTGCTGACTTTGGGAGGCTTATATCTGTAATAATTTTCAAGTTAGGTAAGAATTACCAAAACAATTTAAGATAGTTTTTAGTAAGAATAATTCATAGGGCAAGTTCAACAGACACAGTATCGTGACAGAAGCACCTAGACATGTAGTTGGAGGACCTGAATTTGAATCTTGATTCTATTTATTACCTATGCATCCTTGACCTGATACAATGTCTTTGAGTTTTCTCTTCTCAGAGTACACAATAATAATTTTGTGGCAGACATTAAGTCTATGAAAGCTCTCTGCGCAACAATGAGAAGTGCTCAACAAATGCTTATAATAATTTGCTTATGATAGCACTGTTCCAGATGGAAAGGCTCAGAATAATTAGAACTATGTAAAAACTCCATCTACTCAAAGCGTAAAAAGATTAGGAAAAGGGAACCAGCAGTTAGTGTAATGGCTATGTCGCGGGACTCCCACGTAGTCGACCGTGGTTCGCGTCCCGGACCCGGGGGCTTAGAACTCACGCCGGGCGCGTGTGCGTGCATGCCCAAGATCCCGAGAGGAGAATGGAGGAGAAGGGATTGCGGCGTGACCATCCCCCCTGGGGGGTGATTTCTCGCTTTCTGTCTCTATGTCTCTCTCTGTCTGTCTGGCGAGCGCACGCGCCCTATGAAAACCTCTCCAAAAAAAAAAAAAGATTAGGAAAAAAATTTAGGGCCAGGCAGGTGGCATGGTGGTTAAGGTAGCTCAATTCCACATGGCCAATTGCACGGTTAAAGTCCTGATCCTGGTGGCTTGAAAAACATGCTAGGAGAGTGTACAAGTGTGCCCAAACTCCTGAGAGGAAAATAGAGGGAAGGGGATTATAGTGTGTCCATCCCGAGAGAGTGATTTCTTTTTCCCTCTCTATTTCACTCTAGCCAATGCACATACCCTATGGCAAAACTAAAAAAAGAAAAGAATATCTTTCTGACAGTAGTTAAATACAGGTTGATACGATCAAGGATAATTTTTATTTTTTCTTCCTCCTGAATTTCTGTCTTTTCTACATTTTTTTAAAATTGCTATAGAGGGGAACCGGCAGTTAGCGTAATGGCTATGTCGCTGGACTCCCACGTAGTCAACCGCGGTTCGTGTCCCGGACCCGGTGGTTTAAAACTCACGCCAGGCACGTGTGCGTGCGTGCCCAAGATCCCGAGAGGAGAATGGAGGAGAAGGGATTGCGGCGTGACCATCCCCCCTGGGGGGTGATTTCTCGCTTTCTGTCTCTATGTCTCTCTCTGTCTGTCTGGCGAGCGCACGCGCCCTACAGTGAAAATCTCTCAAAAAAAAAATTGCTATAGAGCATGTGAGCTCATGGAGAGACAGAGAAAGAAAGAGGAAAGTGAGTGAGGATCCCCAGGGAAATAGCCACACTGTACTCTCTAGGGATTTGGGGCATATATATACACAGCATTCAGTGTATTTTTTCTTTTTTCTTCTTTTTGGAGACGTTTTTGCCATAGGGCACGTGCGCTCCCCAGACAGAGAGAGACAGAGAGACAGAAAGCGAGAAATCACCCCCCAGGGGGGATGACCATGCTGCAATCCCTTCTCCTCCATTCTCCTCTCGGGATCTTGGGCATGCACGCACACGCGCCCGGCGTGAGTTTCAAGCCACCGGGTCTGGGATGCAAACCACAGTTGACTACATGGGAGTCCAGCGACACAGCCATTATGCTAACTACTCGTCCCTCAGTGTATTTTTTCAAGCCATTGGTCTGGGATTTGAACCACACAGTCAGCCATGTGGGATCTGGCTGCCTTAACCACCATGCTACCAGCTGGCTCTTTTTGAATTTTCTTAAAGGATTTTTTAAAGAGATTTTTGCTATAGGGTGCATGCACTCACTAGAGAGACAAACACAGAAAGGGAGAAATCATCCCACAGTGGGGGTGGCCACGCTGCAATCCCTTCTCCTCTTGGGATTTTGGGCACGAACGCACATGCTCCCAGCACGAGTTTTAAGCTGCCAGGTCCAGGACTCGAACCACGGTTTACTACATGGTAGTCCAGCAACATACACCATCTGCTGGTCCCATAAATGATTTTTTTAATAAAATAAAAAATAAATTAATCTGGAGCTATAAATAAATTTTATGATATAAATCCCTTTTTAAGGAATGCCCCAAATAATGCTATCAGCAGAGTAAGACCAAAGAACTCTGCTGACAATTTCAATTCCAGAGTTATACTAGCAAATGGAGAAGTAGGGAAGTAAACTCACTTTTACTTCTTCAGGACTCTCGAATGGTCAGAACCAGGGATTCATGAAAATTACTGAACACACAGAAGCATATCTGTTTGGATATACTCTATGAGTTTTAGCTATATTTTATTTTAAAATTTATTTGTCCTTTCTTTCTTTATGATAAAGTACATGTACATACACATGAGAGTATGGGAGAGAGAGTAGAAGCAGCGAGGTGGGTATATTTATGAACAGGAGAGATGGAAGAAGAAAGGAAGGAGGATGAGAGAACAGCACCCCACCAGGGTCTCAATGCTGCAGTCCACCCTAGCCTCAGCTAGCTCTGGATGGGTGCACACGTGCCTGGTGTACTTAGGTCTCTTCACTGTATACAAACCCAGAACCTCCCCTTGTGGTCAGCTTTATAGACCATCATGTTTCACTCTGTGCTGTCATCTGGTTCCAGTCAACTTTTATTTTATTTTTAGTGAATCAGGTCCTATTCCACTTTTTTTCTATTGAATCCCTGAGCTTGCTCATCATAGGTATCAAAAGCAGGCCATGTACCCAGTAAATTACATATGGAAAGAATTTCTCACAAAATTCTCTATGAGCCTATGCTATTCTGAAGCACTGACTAAAAATTCCAGATGTTTAAAAGAAATAAACTTTTCTTTCCAAGCATAACACATTTCAAACTTTCCAAATCATGGGGATTCCCAAGCTAATGGGTAGGAACTTACAACAGAACAAGTGTGAATAAGTGACTTACATGTATTTTGTTACAGTGAAAGATATGGCCAGAAACATTATGCTTGTTAGAAAGTTTTCAGCCTGAGGTTAAAAACTAATGCCTCACTCAGAATGAAACAGAAGCGTCTAATGTGTCTAATGTTCTCTGAACTCCATTTGTGATAAACTAGCATTTTTATAGTAAAATAATAAAAATAGCCAATATATATTGAAACTTTACTATGGAAGTCTGATGAATAAAAAAAAAGAAAAGGAATACCTGTTTTTTTTTTTTTTTTTTTTTTTTTTTTAAGGTTTTTGCCATAAGGGGTGTGTGTTCCCTGGAGAGAAACAGAAAGGACAGTGAAGAGAAAAGTGAAGCCCCCTCCACCCCCCGCCAGGGGGGATGGCCATGCTACAATCCCTTCTCCTCCATTCTCCTCCTGGGATTTTGGGCATACACACATGTGCCCAATGTGATTTTCAAGCCTTCGAGCCAGGACTCAGACTGTGTTTGGCCACTGGAGCCCAGTGCCATAAGCACTACACTACTAGCTGGCCCTGGGATACCTGGATTTAAGTTCAGACTTGCTCCTTATTGGTTGGGAGACGTTACCCAATACTTAACCTTCTTGAACTCCAATTTCCTTATTTAGTAACTAGAGAGAGTGAAAATACTTGTTCTACCACTTTGCAAGATTATTATAAGCATCAGATGAGATAAATTATGCTTTGTGACTAAAACAGCATTGTGGGGGAAGGGGGTATCATGGTATAATAAGAACCTGTCAGGAAAACCTCTCCCTCTTCTCTTTCTCCTGGACTTTCTCTGCTGATAAGAAGAGAAGTAAAAACAATTTCACTAAATAACTAAAAATAAATAAAGATCATTGTAAAAATGTTATTTGGAATATCCCTATACATACCGCTATGCAACTTCTGTTAGCCTTTCTGGACACTCCAAAACAAATGAGGTACCTTCCTAAGAGCACAACACCCATATCTTTCCAATGATCTCGTTTAACACACTGTTTTCTCTGTAACAGCTGTTCTTACAGTTCACACAGGTTTTTTTAAAGAATTATTTTATTTAATTTTGTTTATTTATTTACTTATTTTAATTTGACCAGAGAGGGACAAAGCAAAAGCAAGATTGAGAGAGAGAGAGATAAAGTGAGAAAGCAAGTCGCCAGATTCAGGACTCGAACCACAGTCGGCCACGTGGGAGTCTAGCACCCTTAACCACCATGCCACCTGCCAGCCCTGAGTTCACATAGTTTAGGCCTAGTCCACTGTAAATCCCATGAGGGCCAAGTCTTTATGTCTTCTTGTTCACCACTGCATTTCAAATACCTTACTTATATTAGGCATTTAATAAAGAAATGAATACATTTTTTTCTTTATTCATGAAAGGGCACATGCAAGAACACATGAAAGAGAGAGAGATTAAGAATGAGTAGCACCCTCCAGGATCTGGTCGTGCTGAGATATCCCTCCTCCAGTCCTCCAGCCTCTCAGATCTTGGGCATGCACACACGTGCTTAGCATGTTTTAGGGTGACCAGGTTGGGAATCTGAAACATGGTCACCATGTGGGATCCAACTTCTCTGGAGTAGCACATTATCACTGTACCACAGAATCAGCCCCAAATGAATAAATTTTGACAGAAGAAAAGCTCTCCCTTGCAGGGTTTTGCTACCAAAAGTCCTAATAAGGGTACTTAATAGCAACTTATACCTATACATACTGAATAGTAATTGGTGAGAATGGAAAGGAAAATTAAAGAACTAATAGAATAGGGTCATATTTATGATACATAGTTATAAAAAGAATATTTTCACTATGCTATCAACTAAGACAAATATGACTCACCATCGTATTTTGCTAGGACTGCCTGAACATCTGCATAGGCTTGTAATTCTAAAAGTGATTCTAAAAGATTTTCATGGATGTTCAACATGGTAAGAGGAGGAAATTCTTTCATCAACTGTATATTGGAAGGAAAAAGAGATTAAAATCATAACAAAGGAACTCAATACAGCTGAACTAGATTTGTTAAAGTAAAAAATTCTTTTGTTTCTTAGCAAAACTGTTGAAATCTAACTCTTTTTTTGTTTTGTTTTGTTTGTTTGTTTGTTTTTGAGAGAGAGAGATTTTTGCTATAGGGCACATGCATTTGCCAGAGAGACAGAAAGTGCGAAAACACCCCACTGGGGAGATAGGCAAACCATAATCCTTTCTCCTCCACTCTCCTCTTGGGATTTTGGGCATGCATGCACATGTGTGCAGTGTGAGTTTTAAGTTGCTGGGTCTGGGACTCGATCTGAGGTTGACTACATGGGAGTCCAGTGATGAAAGCATCATGACATCTGCTGGTCCCAATACCTAACACTTAAGAAATGTATGTGTATTAAACAAATATCTTGTTACAGAAGCAACCAATTAAAAAAGTGATTCTACATTAAAATAATTGGAATTAAGCTATAGCTTTAGTTTTCAGAGGATGAAACATAATTGTCCTGTCACCAAATTTACTTACATCTCTCATTATTTTTACTGCTTCTCTTATTCTTCCTAATTTTCTTGCACACATTGCCAATCTTCTTTTAATATATACCAGCACATTGGTATCTCTCCCTGTTTAGAAAAACAAGTGATACAACTTTCTATTATTAAGTACTATTTCATTAAAATATTACCCATTAACTTTATTTGCTTACCCTATAAGAGTCGATTATTAAATTGTATCAGATTGGAAGAATATTAACGACTGCTGAATTAGATAATGAATACTGAATGGGAGTTCTATTTTTGTGTCTATTTGAAGTTATATGTACTTAAACTTTTAGCTTAACTATATATTGAATTACTTTTGCTTCTAAAAGTAATCTGAGTACAGTACATATAAGTTAACTTGCATATGATTGACATGTAAATTTTAATATTAACACAAAAGAGACACCAGCAGTTGGTATAACGGCTATGTCGCTAGACTCCCACGTAGTCAACCGTGGTTCGAATCCCGGACCCAGTGGCTTAAACTCACGCCAGGTGCATGTGCATGTGTGCTCAAGATCCCAAGAGGAGAATGGAGGAGAAGAGATCACGGCATGGCCATCCCCCCTGGGAGCTGATTTCTTGCTTTCTGTCTTTCTGTCTCTCTCTGTCTTTCTGGCAAGAACCCGTGCCCAATAATAATAACAATAACAATAATAATAATAAAAAACTCTCCCCCCCAAAAAACAAAACAAACAAACAAACAAAAAAACCCACATACATTAATAGAAAGATATAACATCAATCTTTTCTTTTTTAAGAGGTTTTTGCCTTAGGGTGCATGCACTTGCCGGGTAGAAAGAGAAAAAGAGAGAGTAACAGAAACAGTGAGAAGGAAAGTGAGAAATCACCCCCCAGGGGATTGGCCACGCCACAATCCCTTCTTCTCCATTCTCCTCCTGGCATCTTGGCCTGGCATGCACAGGCGCCCAGCATGATTTTCAAGCTACTGGATCTGGGACTTGAACTGCAGTCGGCCATGTGGGAATCCAGTGATGTAACCGCTATGCCATTTGTTGGTCCCTATAACATCAGTCTTTTAAGTTTCTGTATAAACAACCCATTATTTTAATATTATCTTCTGTTTTAACTAAAAAACAAACAAAAAAGTCCAAAAAATATCTCATTGCTAATATAAACTTTTTTCAACAGCAAGTAACTAACAAACTATAAAACTACTTCTAGTAAGGGCTGATGAATACTTCTATAACTATCTCATAACTATATTTGAGATCATACAAGGACAAATGGGTTACTCTTTTATAGATGTAGTTTCATTGCAAAGTTCTAGGCTGCAAAATTATATATTCCCACAGTCATGTGTTACAAAAACATGTTTTAATAAAACAAACTGCATACATTAGTTTAGAAAGAAAATATCCAATTTTAACTTCTACAAACAAAAGATTTAGAAGTTAACTGCTAGCAGATAATGTGTTATATAAACATATTTCAATTTATTGTCTACTATCTGCCAAAATCATGAAACTAAAACCCTCTGGCCACAAAAATAGCAGGAAGCAGCAGCATTGCTGATTCTAACATCTTTGGTTAAGTGTCTCAATCACAACTGGGAGAGTAACTGTAAGAATGGAAAGAAAGAATCTCGGTTGCTATGGCCGGTCTGATCCCAAACACATGGAGAAAAACCAACCAAAGAAAGAATCAATGCCAAGTATGAAGTTAGATTTTGTGCTAAGAATTAGATGGTCTGAAAGAGGCTGTTCCTGGGCATTACAAGCAATATGTGCATGGTCTGACAAGTAAACCAAATGATGTACATTTACTGTTGCTTGGAGTAATGGTGAGGACAAAGGTAATTGCTACTTATCATCACTAGAAGGCTCACTTGAATCCTCAAATTTTTAAAAATTATTTTATTTAACTTTATTTATTATTATTATTTTCCAGTTTGATCAGAGAGAGACAGAGAGGAAAGTAAGAAAGAAAGTCACCAGGTCTGGAACTTGAACTATAGTCGGCCATGTGGGAGTCCACCGCCTTTAACCATCATGCCACCTGCTGGCTCCAGTTCTGAGTATTTTTTAGTTACTTTCATGATCTGCCCAATTCTTTCTGTGAAATAAATTGTTGTTATGTCTCAGAGCACCACATTTCCTTATTTTTTTTTTCCAGAGAGATTTTTGGTATAGGGTACCAGCACTCACCAGAGACAGAAAGTGAGAAATCACACCCCAGGGGAGATGGCCATACCACAATCCCTTCTTCTTCATCCTCCTCTTGGGATTTTGGGCATGCACGCACAAGCACACACACACATGAAGTATTTTAAGCCACCTAGTCCAGGACTTGAACTGCAGTCAACTACATGTAGGAGTCCAGCAATGTAACCATTATGCCATCTGCTGGTCCTACCAAATTTCCTCTTAATAACCAAAGTACATCTATTTCCATCTACAAGCATTATCTGGCTAACATATTTCTGGCAGACATATTTCTGTCTTGCTGGCTTGTAGGTATTATGAATAGATTAGTTACCTCTTACAAAAAGTAGCTAACCTCTAAGTATTAAGTTTTTTGTTATTTTTCTTCTGCTGTTTTTATTTATTTATTTATTTTTGTTTTAGCTATAAGGCACATGTGCTCACCAGAAAATGGCAGAGAGACAGAAAGTGAAAAACCACCCCACCAGGGGAGATGGCCACACCAAAATCCCTTTTCCTCCATTCTCTCCTCAGGATTTTGGCCAAGCACACATACACGCCTGGTGTGATTTTCAAGTGGTCAGGTCCAAGACACAAACCATGGTCGGCCATGTAGGAATCTAGCACCTTAACCATCACACCATCTGCTGGTCTCCATTGTTGTGTGTTTTAAACATACAGAGTCAATTGCAGGGGCAGGCAGGTGATACAGTGGTTAAGGGCGCTGGACTCCCACATGGCCAACTACGGTTCGAATCCCAGACCTGGCAGCTTGCTTTCTCACTTTCTCTCTCTCCCCCCGCCCTCTCACTTTCACTCTCACTCTGTCCTTCTCTGTCCCTCAAATTAAAATTAATTAATTAAAGTTCAATAAAATAATTCTTTAAAAAAAAGAGTCAATTGCAGGAGCTAAAAGACAGTGAAAATCAGTTGAGATTTGCTTACTCAGTTGAGCTTCATGCTGAGGACTTTGGTGCTGGCACTGCTGTGACCGCTTATAAATTGTTTCTCCTGCTTTGAGTGCCTGTTTAAATAACCGTTCGGCATCTGCAATGGTTGTGGCTTCTTCCTCAGCCAGTAGAACATACGCAGTGGCACAGCTGTAAAGAAACAAACATAGTGATTTACAGTAAAATGATAAAACAAATATTTTCTCTTAGATATTCCTTTTGTTCTACATCCTGTAGCCTTACCTATACTTTCCACCTTTGAGAGTGGAAAGAGACTTCATTCAATATTTTAATTTATTAGGGGCATATTGGTATAGTCTTCATGTCTGATGCTACAATTTTTCTACTCTATTTTTCTCTTTGCTCTTTATCTTTTAATATTTTAATTATTATTATTGTAATTTGACCAGAAAGAAGGAAAGTGAGAAAGCTACCAGGTTCGAGACTCGAACCATGATCAGTCACGTGGGAATACAGCACCTTAATCACCACACCATCAGTTGGCCCTGTTACTCTTTATTTTTCTGTTTTATTTCTATCTCCATTCTTTGATCCTTCGTCCACTGTTTCCTTTTTATGGAAGAGGGAAAGAAGATATACAGGATTATCTGAAAAGTAGCTTAGGAGTTTCACTAGTTTCTCTCTAGTGGTCAGACCTGCTTTTAGTCACTACATACTTTGTAATATCCATCTCATGTGGGCAGGTCTGAGAGTGAAGACTGGGAAGAAAGTCTCTTGGCCAAGTGAGCAGTTAACAGCTAACTCAGAAACATATTCCAGGATTAAACCTCCTTCCCAAACTGAGTATTCCTTCTGTATCCCACCCCATCTTCCTGTGGGCTTACCCACGATAATATGCAGCTTAACTTCCCTAGGTCTGAGTTCCACTCCTTTCTGCTACTGTCCTACTCTAATTCCTCACAGCCATGCTTATTCCTCATTTTCATGTCTTCACTCCATTAAAACACAGATCTTTCTTTGTAACTTCTAAATCAACAACTGGTTAGTAAGTTAAACTAATTATTGTTTTTGGGGAAAGAAGGAAAAAAAAGTTTTTCTTCCATTCTTAGAAATAACAAGTACATCTCTTCTGGAAACAATGTCCTTGGTCTTATTATCTAAACCTGAATTGTCCCATAGTCTAGTCATTGGCCACAATGTTACAGAGCACTTGAAATGTGACCAGATAGAATGAAAATGTGATGTATCTGTAAAATACACATTGGATTTGAAGACTTAAAAGGTAAAACCAGGGCCAGCAGGTGATGTGGTGGTTAAAGACACTGGACTCTCACATGGTTGACTGTGGTTTGAGTCCTGGACTTCTTGACTTGCTTTCTCACTTTCCCTATCTCTCTCTCTCTATCTCATCAAATTAAAAAATAATAACAACAAATGTAATTAAATAAATAAATAATTCTTTATTTAACAAAAAGAGGTAAAACACATCATTAATAGGTCTAAAAGTATACTGGTTATATGGTAAAAGAAAAGTTTAATAGTTTAACTATAGCTAAATAAAACATTATTCAGATTAATTTTACCTATCTCTTTTTACTTTTTAAATATGGAATAGAAAACTTAAAAATTACATCAATGGTTCACATTATATCTCTATCAAATAGTGTGGTAAAAGTACAAAGTCAGACACAAAACAAAGTAATGGAGGGCCATCTGGTGGCATCATGGTTAAAAAGGCCTCGTTCAGCAGTTAGCGTAATGGCTGAAGGTGCACA